TCCCCATCAGTTGGCCATGCTGGGAATCATAGGATTGAATTGCAAGCGTATTTGGAAGTAGAATAGAACAGGGGTCCTCAAACTTTTTAAACGGGGCCAATTCACAGTTCCTCAGACTGTTGGGGGGGGCAGACCGGCTGGGGGGCATCGCTAGGTGGTCCTGTGATTGGGTGCGCTTTACCAATATAGTAGTCTATTAAACAATACACACAAATTAAACTTTAATTTGTTATGCTCCTGGGGGTGGAAAGCAGGTTAGTGAAGGGATGTGGCTGCTTGGGTGGTGGGGGCTGTGAGGGACTTCTGATTTTGTGTCTCTGTGTGTGTATCTCCCTCCCTCCCTCTCCCTGCTTCTCTTTCTTGAGGCTGGTGAGGCCAAAAACAGGCCCATTTTTGGCCTCCCCTGCCTCCAGAAGGTGGGTAGGGGCCAGCGGGTAGGTGGGCCGATGTGGGTGGAGCAACCTCGTGGTCCTGCGCGGGTCGTATTAATGGCTTCAGCGGGCCATGTCCCCTCCCTTGCCTTAGTTTGACTCCTGGAATAGAATGACAGAGTTGGAAGGGACCTTGGAGGATTTCAAGTCCAACTCCCTGCTTAGTCAAGAAACCCAATACCATTTTAGGCAAATGGCTGTCCAATCTCTTCTTAAAAACTTCCAGTATTGGAACAACCACAGCTTCTGGAGGCAAGTTGTTCCACTGATTAATTGTTCACTGTCAGGAAATTTCTCCTTAATTCTAGGTTGCTTCTATCATTGATTAATTTCCATTCTTTGCTTATTGTCTTGCTTTTCAGGTGCCTTGGAGAATAACTTGACTCCCTCTTTGTAGTAACCCCTGAGAACACTGCTATCATGTCATCCTTATTCTTTCTCATTAAACTACACATATCCAATTTCAGCAACCGGTCTTTAAATGTTTTAGCCTCTAATCATCTTGGTTGCTCTTCTCTGCGCTCTTTCTAGAGTCTCAACATCTTTTTTAGTTGCCAGGTTGAGCAAAGGTCCGTTCAAAAAAGCATGGAAGCCATGCATGTGTGTGTGTACATAGGCTTACAAAATTAATAAGGGTCAATTTTTCATTGACACAGAATACAGACAGCCTATCAACTGGCAGGAAGGGATTTTTTTTCTAACCTTCACTCCGGTCTGATTCTTGAGTGCATAAGCATAAATTAAACTGAAGGCCGATTAGCCAGACCAGAAAGTAGTGCTGTTCTTAAGTTTTAATGTTGGATAAGTGGAAGTGATTGGTGAATGCTCAAGGATTCATTTCCTCTCCCACAAAATATCTCATCCTTGCTTTACTCCAGAGCTCAGCTGGCAGGAAGGGATTTTTTTTTCTAACCTTCACTCCTGTGTGATTCTTGAAGACTGGACAAAAATCTGCAGTTTTTGTGGCAAGTTTTTTTTTAATACCCCAAAGTGATTTGCTTTTTACCTAGGGCTGAGAGAAACTGAGAAGGTAATCCAGATGGTTTTGTGCCTAAAGCAAAACTTTACTTTTGATCTCCCAATTTCTAGCCTGAAGCCTTAACCACTGCACCAAACTGGCTCTCAAAAGGGGTGGGGTGGGAGTGGGAAAAGTGCATAAGCATAAATTAAACAAGGCCGAATTGCCAGGCCAGAGGGTATTGCTGTTCTTAAGTTTTAATGTTGGATAACTGGAAGTGATTGGTGAATGCTCAAGAATTCATTTCCTCTCCCACAAAATATCTCATCCTTGTTTCAGTCCAGATCTCTGTTGTGATTTGCCAGTTCAGTTTACAAGAGGTGCAGAGTGAACCAGGTCCATCAGTGATGAGTCAGCCTCATCCTTGCCTACTACTGCCATGAAATAGCAAGGATGGCAGCAACTAGATATAGTCTTTTGGCAAAAGGGCAGCACTTCTTTTCAAGTTTTAAAAACAAGTATAATCTTGTGAAATTACTCATTAGTGACTGTTCAACGTTACAATAGCACTGAAAAAAGTGACTGACAGTTCGGTTTTTTTACATGATTGCTGCAGCTTTCCCATGGTCACTTGATCAAAATTCAGATGCTTGGCAATTCGCTCATATTTATGGCAGCTGCAATGTTCCAGAATCCTGTGATCTCTTTTTGCAACCTTCTGGCAAGCAAAGCCAATGGGAAAGCCATATTCACTTAACAACCATGTTACAAACTTAATAACTGCAGTGATTCCACTTAACAACTGTGGCAATAAAGGTTATAAAATAGGGCAGAACTCACTTAACTGTCTTGCTCAGCAACAGAAATGTTGGGCTCCATAAAGGTAGTCCTTGACCATAGGTAAGTCGAGGACTACCTATAATGCACTTACCAGGATAAGAATCTGGAATGCAGTTGCCTCTATCTGGATCCTTTAATTGGGTTAAATCAACTTCCTGTGCAGCACAAGAATTGTGATGTTCTTAAAGCTGTTTTTTAAACAGGTCTAAAGCTCTTTTGAAAGAATGCTAAACTTGTGTTTAATAAAGCATGTTAAATGTATTTTTCCAGGATGTACAAACTCATGTTTATAAGGAACCCCCAAAACTTGACATGCATTTGTGAATGTGTCAGGCATTATTTGGGCAAGTTTCTTTGTGGGAGGCACATGATCCAGCGAATGGGCCTGAGATATAGAGACCAATATTGATCGGTTCATGAATTGAAACTCAAGAGAAAGTGAATCATGCAGCAAGATAATGATCCAAAACTCACAAGCCATATAATCAAATAATGGTTAAAGGAGAACCAAGTTAATATTTTCAAATGACAAAGTTAATGGCCTGACTATAATTCTATAAAAAATGTTACTGAAGAATCTGAAGTTGATGTGAGGATTTTTACCATTTTCCCTGGGCTGCAGCTGTTCTGTAACGAGGGATATAGTGTAAAATTTCTCAATTTTGAGAAATGCTGATATGCAGGACTGATCAACAGTTATTGAAAATGTTTAGTTGCAATTATTGCCATCAGTGTGGTGTTCCTGAAAGCAAAAGTTTAATTGAATTTTTTTTAAAAATGTTATTGTTAATCCTAATTGGGTTTGCTTGGGATACTCTATTTAATTTTTTAAAAACTTTTGTATTATGCGTTTCTTTTAATGTTGTACGCCGCCCTGAGTCCTTGGGAGAAGGGCAGCATATAAATCCAATAAACCAAACCAAACCAAAAGTTCACATACTTTTTCCATACGCAAATATGTATCTTTGGGTCATTTTTCTTAGTAAATAAACAAGTGTAATGTTTTTGCCTCATTTATTTAATTTGTTTCTTTTCATATAATTTTGGGACATGTGGAAAAACCGATAATGTTTTATGTTATATTTATGCAGCAATACTGAATTGACATGTTGTTTATAGATCTGTAACTTCAATGATAACACTAGATAATTTCTAGGTAATTAGAATAGAATTCTTTTATTGGACAAGTGTGATTGGACACACAAGTAAATTGTCTTTGATGCATATGCTCTCAGTGTACATAAAGAAAAATAAAAGAATCATAAGATACAACATTTAGTGATAGTCATGGGTTACTAATAAGCAATCAAATCATACTAGGAAACAAAACTATAAAACGTAAAGATACAAGCAACATGGTTATAGTCATAAGTGGGAAGAGATAGGTACTAGGAAGGATGAGAAGAATAATTGTAATACAGTCTTAGTAAATATTTGACAGTGTTGTGGGAATTAGTTGTTTAGCAGAGTGATGGCATTGGGGGAATCAAACCGTCCTTGGGTCTTGTTGTTCTGGTTTGCAGTGCTCTATAGCATCGTTTTGAGGGTAGAAATTGAAACAATTTATGTCCAGGATGTGAGGGGTCTATAGATATTTTCACAGCCCTCTTTTTGACTCGTGCAGTATACAGGTCTTCAATGGAAAAAGTCTGCTGTGCAATACTAAATGATAGCGATAAGGCAGCCAGATGAGATAATTGTCTAATTTGCAAAATATGGATTTTAGAGCTTCTTAAATATTTAAATATTCCTCAGTTTAACAGTATGCAGGTAGTCCTCGACTTACGACCCTAATTGGAACAGAGCAGATACTACTCCCATTGCTAAATAAGAATTAATGAATGAAATGAATCCTGTCCAATTCTATGACCCTTTTTTGCCATGACTGTTAAGTGAATCCTCCCAGTAGTTAATCATGTGGATGTTAAGTGAACCCAGCTTCCCCCATTTACTTCTGGGAAGCTAGCTACGAAGGTCACATGACCCTGAGATCTTGCAACTGTCATAAGTACATGCTGATTGCCAAGCACCCACATTTTGATTTGTAGGAATGCTGTGACGGTCATAGGTGCAAGGACTGGTTGTAAGTCATTGTAATTTCAAACGGTCACAAACTAATAGTTGTAAGTTGAGGACTACCTTTATATGAGCTTTTAAAGTTCCTCTGTGTGTTTTCTTTGCTAAATATTCAAAATAATAGAAACGGGAAAAATGCAGCTGGTATATGGTATTGAGAATCCTGCACATAAAGATGACATTTTCCTTGCAGCGTGACAGTTTCTTTGTTTCTAAAATTAAAATAATTTAGAAAGATATAAATTGTCAAGAGGGACCAGGCATTTTGCAACTGGCAAGATGCATTGACATTCTCAGGCATTATGCTGGAGACCCAAGCTTTTTACCAGTAGCAATGCTGAGACTGCAGAAGGAAGGAACCATAACACTAATAACAACAACAACAAAGATTAATCCTTTTTAGGATTCTTTTGAGTAGAGCACCTTGCAAACAATGCTGCCTGCTAAATAAAAAAAATCTGGATCCATTATAATAGGTCCTTCCCAAATTTGTAGATTTCCAAGAGGTAAAAATAAACTTATACTTTTATGCAGCTAACTTGATCTGGTTGTTCTGAATAAGGATTATTCAGGAACTTATCGTACCTCCCTTAACTGAAGAATGATGGGATATAAAATTAAATATATTGTTTAAGTAATGTAGCATAAGTAAATATAGGGATGTTTTTAATCTTACCCCACAAATATGTTTTCTTTGATTATAATGAATAACTTTCAGTCAACTGGAAATACTTTATTAGAAATGTTCAGTTACTTTCAGGTGTTCACATACTATTGATACACATGTCCCAATAATAATTTGTTTGTTTTTCTGACTGTTTTATAGGTGGTGGTATTGATTTTTCTGGTATTCATCATGATAACTCCAGTATTTGAACTGAGTCAAGATCCAGATTTTCTCACAATAATTATCAAAGTACCTTATGCACGAGTTTCAGAATTTGACCTCCATTTTGAAGGGAATTCATTTCATTTTTATGGAAAACCTTACTTTCTTAGGTAAGCCATATTAGTTTTCATCTAATATATTGTTATCATCTGATCTCTCAACTTAATTTTGTCTATTTAGTTTAATAAACTATTTTCGTGAGTATTGCTGCTATTTTTTAAATATTTAGCACAGCTGAATATCGTAGATCATAGATTGTTAACTGATAACAGACAAAGTTGCTACGGGTTTGGAGGTTATGTTGGGCAATTAAACATTGTTTGTATCACAGTATCTCATATGCAAATTAGAAGTGTTTTAATCAGCATACAGAACAGCATTACATTTCTTTATCTCCTGCATAGGAGAGAAAAATGAAATAATTTATTTTAAATCCTATGTGACATATCTTTGAATTGAAACAATGTTTGGTTGCTTTAGGTAACTATATGGAGAAATTTCTTTGTATGCATACACACACACACACACACACACACACACACACGAACATGTATGGTACAGTAATTAAGTTGCTGGGCTAAGAGTAAAGAGATCCTGCTACTTGGTCCTACTTCGAAGCTGGTTTGGTGATTTGGTGCCAGTCATTTTCTCACAGCCCTAAACTGGGAAGTCAAAAAATATTTATCTACCAATCCACACTGGAATTATAATTATGGTACATCGCACAGTTAGCCAGATGGATTTGGCATTTTTATCTACCTAAGTCATTCCTAAGAACCTGGGATAGGCAGATGATGTTGTTTAATGGTGTTAAATGGTATTATTGCAGAATTTAAGCTATTCCAAGCAAAGATGCCTTTTGCAATTAACTGATGGCGGTTTGTCAGTGCTGGTAGTGTTCAACTGGTTCTCCAGATGTTTTGGAATTGTACCCAAAGCACTTATTACTACTGTTGCTGTCTTTGCTTTCTTTTGCCACAGTTGTTCTATGTCAGGGGTATCAAACTGGCGGTGTTATGTTGCAAGTGCCTGTTTATTTGAAGTCTAAAGTCCCAGAGCACTTTAGTTTATAATTATTATTTTAAAATTCATACACTCAAACACAGATTCAGACAGTGTAACAATAAGATACTTAACATTTATGTATATATTGAAACACAATATTTAACACTCCATTTCTATAATTCTTGTTCTCTTAAAGAGATGTTATATATTACAGTAGAAACTCGGTGGATTATTTGGTGAAGGGAAGTAATGTCTGTTAAACCCAAATATACAGTAAATTCAAATTTATATAATAGTTGCTTTTTATGTCACTGGATGTTGTTTTTAATTTTGCAGTACTAGATAGCATGCATAAATGTTATCTGAACTGAATGGAGTGCCCCGAATCTTTTGGCATTTGAAATTTATAAATAAAACAAGCTTTCTTCTTGAATTGAGTAGATCAAAAAGGAGAAAGCAAACAAAAAAAATGAACAGCGGCTGAAGTCTGACAGAATTTCAGCATGTTCCACTCACAACTCTGCCAAGGACATAGTGATTACTCTGACATTCCTGATAAAAGTAATACTAGTAATTGTCCATTCACAAATCATATTCGCTTTTCTGTTTGCCATCTATATATAACTTACTATTTGGAATTGTTTTACCATACATTGTAGAGTCTGTGTAATTTGATTTTTCAAATTGTTACATCTGAACACTGCTAGCTCATTTTTCTTATAGTAATAATAGATATTAAATAAAATACTTGCTTTTTTTCCTTTGACAGATTGACACTTCCTGGAAGAGTTGTAGAAGATGGAAGAGAGAAAGCATCCTATGATGATTCAGGTTTGCTTTGCAAATATTTTCATATATAGATATATTGCAGCAGAAGCAGCATATATTTACTTCCAATTTCACCAATGTTATCTTGGCTTCTGGCAGGTCCTTGATTTAAAATGCCGTTCTGCAGAGAGATAAACAACACATTTAAAATGATTTATGGCCACTAGACAGATAAGGAAGATTCCCATGTTACAAATATCTTTTCACCAAAATAACATCATACCCTATTCAGAAAGAAACTTGAATTGCTGGTGCACCCATTTTCTTCTTTTTTCTGAACATGGGTAAATAATAAATGAAAGGAAAGAGGATTTCCTGATCTTTCCCTTTATAGAAGGAAGGAAAGCCAAGTAGGATGAAGGTTTTCTTTGTTGTACTAAATCCAAAAAAAACCCTAATGTGTATATTATGTAAATGGAAGACTACATTTACTGTTGAGCTTTTTCATTATCTTACACATCCCTACATTTATTTTACTTTATTAGAATTTGCCCTGAGGGATTCCTCAGACCTCTGGTGTAGGTTTTGGAGGAATGTGTGGTAATGTAATCCAATCCCATCCCCGTCCTCTGCCCATCCAAACTTTTATAGAAAATGGAAAAAGCAGAGGGGGGGACATTATGAATACGTCCTAGTGTTTCATAATGAAATGCATTTAAGAAATAGATATGAAAACAAAGCATTTCGGGGGAAAATGCCTTTGGTTGATTTCATCCTTTTATTTCCAGGAATATTTACAATTCACCTTCCCAAAGAAACTCCTGGAGAGAAATTTGATGGCTTAGATATGTTGACAGCTCTGTTAGCACCAAAGAAATCCCGATCAGCTAAACCTTTAGTGGAAGAGATGGGTTTGTATGATTTTATTTTTTAAAAATGGTTGGTGGGCTCTTGTTTCCCTGTGTAACATACATTGGAGGTTAGGACATTTTGTAAGTTAACTTTTAATGATTTGAATAAAATAGTAATGCTGCTTCTAGATGAAAAATGTATTGGAAGATGCCTTCTAACATATAAAGAAATGGTTTATTTTCATGTTTTACTGAATATAGTGACCAATTCTATTATGGATTGGATGTTAAGGAAAACAAACCAGATTCATTATTCATTGTCTGTCCTATCTCTTCTCCATGATCTCTTGTAGTCATATATCCCATTTCTACCTAGAGGTATTAAGAGCTGAGTTTAATCTTTTAAATTTGCTTTACTACTGAGTTGTGATCATTTTCTGTGGCTATCTCTACAGTTTTGGTTACTGAATATCTTCCATCTGTGAACTAAATTCAGGCTATTGCTTTGCTCTTTTTTTAGAAACAAGAAGAGCTAAAACTAATACAGTAAAACTTATCCTTGGTATAGCTTTCCACCAAGCTGGTGGAGAATTGTGAAAGGCTACTATTCCACTTCCACTAAGTCATGGTTTTCACTATTATTTGTTAAGTAAATCACATCAATTGACACATGACATTATTTTAAACCCAAGTTAACCACGTTAGTGGTTTAGAAATTCTTTTTAAAATATTTAAATCTATTGTTCACCCAACTCCATTGGATACTAGGCAATATAGAAAACTAGGAAGAATATAAAAACATATAAACACACTGAATCACACAAACATCCCAGGCTAAAATACAGGTAGCCTAACAATCAGCCATAAGTATCCATAAGGAGATTTAAAAGCGAGGAAGTCAAGCTATTCTCCAAAGCACCTGAGGGCAGGACAAGAAGAAATGGATGGAAACTAATCAAGGAGAGAAGCAACCTGGAACTAAGAAATTTCCTGACAGTTAGAACAGTTAATCAGTGGAACAACTTGCCTCTAGAAGTTATGGTTGCTCCAACACTGGAAGTTTTTAAGAAGAGATTGGACAAACATTTATCTGAAATGGTATAGGGTTTCCTGCCTGGGGATGGGCTGGGGGGGTTGGACTAGAAGACCCCCAAGATCTTTCCAACTCTCTTATTCTCTCACATATATGTTAGGCAGCCAATGCTTTAGAAAGGCTAAGAGGATGGGGTAAATGGGGGGATTGGGGAAAACCTGCCCTCAGAACAGACCTAAGGTAAATTTCTTCATTAAACTAGACTTTAAGACAAGATCCTTATACATAGTTTCACATATATAATTTTTTTCTGTGATTTATTGAGCAGAGAAATATTAGCCAGATCATACAATCTGATAACTCTGAGCTTTTTTATCATGTAGGTTTGAAGTACTATGAAGTATTTTTGTGTTGACTAGGTGTTTTATTTTTTATTTTATTTATTTTGGTAGTGGGGGAAATCTTATTATGTATATATCTTTTATTTCATTTTCATTTTCATTTTATACAATCACTTATATACTGTGCATAAAAAAAAGAAAAAAGGAAAAAAAAACCCAACATAACACTTCATTCCCCCATACACCCTCTCTTCTGCCCCTCCAACTTTCCTTTCACCCCTCCAGCATTCCCCTCTTCTACTTCCCTACCCCCTCAGACATCTCCCCCTCCCTCCATTTCACCCTCCTTACATTCCCTCTCACTCCCTCTTTACTTCTCCCTTCTCTTTCCCTCTTCTCCTCACTTTGGTGTATCCATACAATTCAATTTGTTTTTTACAATAAAAGTAGAAAAAGAAAAAAAGAAAAAAAAAGAAAAACGAGCCGCAGTACACAAGTGAATTCTTATTGTTCTAAGGATTGAAACTGTAATTCCCCCCTCCCCCTCCCCCCTATAATCCCCCCTCCCTAACCCCCTTACGGCTTCGCAGGTCCCATGCCCGGCATAATTCTTTAACAAGCATTTGAGTATAATAAGGCCAGCTAACTTTAAAATTAAAAAAATAAGATAAAAGTAAAGCCAAAAAGAAAAAGGAAAAATAGTAGAAAATAAGAAATAAACAAAAAAAAAAAAATATATATTTTTAGGTAGAATTTCATGCAATACATTCTAAATGATACAAAAGTTTAATATTGCTGTAATAGTAACTTTTGATGGCAATGCTTATTTAGATGCTCCAAATGAGAACATGGAAGAAGAGGAGGAATTTTACTGGGAAATAGAACAAACTCCTCAGAAAGATAACTTGGAGGATTCCTTGTGTCCAACTGGTTCCTATGGATTTGGAAGTCAGAAATCAGGAGTTTTTAGACGTCTCCAGGTAAGAAACCTTACATAAACACAGATATTTGATATATTTTTCACATCACAGAACGATGATATCTGAAAAAGTGCTGAGTAATATAAATATAAAATATAGCAAAGCAATAGCACTTAGACTTATATATTGTTCCAGAGTGCTTTACAGCACTCTGAGCAGTTTACAGAGTCACCATTTTGCCCCCAACAATCTGGATCCTCATTTTACCATCCTCAGAAGGATGGAAGATTGAATCAACCTTGAGCCCTGTCAGGATCAAATTCCAGCCAGTGGACAGAGTTAACCTGCAATACTGCATTCTAACCACAGCGCCACCACAGCTCCCTATAGCCATATTCTTGATGGCAATTGCTGTGTAAGTTAAAAGATTGTCTAAAAGATTGTTTAAATCTTTTCAATTTTATTTTTTAAAATGGTGTTAGAAATCAATAGGAAATAGAAATTGACTCATGGGAAATGTGTTGGAATGTGTTTACAAAGGGGGAGGTGCTATAATGGACAATAGCGAAGCAGCAGATTCCCAGAAAAAAAGGAGGAGCACATTCCAAGGAAGGGGTGAGACGAGATAATCCAGAGCTGGATAGGAGACAGAGGAAGTAATTTAGGATAGCCACTTCCTAGAATCCCCTGGGGTATATATGTTAGGGTGAGAGTAATATATGTTTAGTCTGGCAAGATTTTGTTTTATGGTATGAACAAAACTGCACTTTAACTGAATTGTTTGATGTTGTTCTCGGGCTGGGCCTGAGAAGAAACATTTTATAATCTTTGAATCTTAAATTGGAGAGAAAGAAATACTTGGAAAAGATGGAACTTGAACACCACTGGATAAATAAGCCTTGATTCCACAACAGTTTAGGAAGAATATAGTATCTGTTAGTAATCTATATTATATAAATTGCCTGACAATGATAAATAAATTACCTTACTGTTTTCAATCAGCCTACTGCAAGCATGATTGATGTCAGTAGATCTATACTAAACATAACAGTAGTTTGGATCCGACCAGTTAATTGTAAAATTGAGAATTTTATGAATGCTAATATATTTATGATGAAAAATTATCATTACACAAAAATTATTTGAGGTATATGTAAATGCAATACAGGTAGGGGTTGCTTAACACCCATTTGTTCAGTAATCAATGAAAGTTAAGATGGCACTGAGTGAACAGTCCTTGAAGTGGCAGTGATTGCAGTGCTCCTGCAGTTAAGTAATCAAAATTCAGGCACTTGATGGTCAAAATTCAGGCACTTGATGGTCCATCTGCATTTCCAACTGCAGCATGTGCTTCAAGTCCCTGCTATCTGTCTATTTCCCCCACCCACCCACCTTCCACATCTGCCCTTTGGACTATCCACCTAGTCCAGGGGTGCCAAACTGATGGCCCGCAGGCCGGATGCGTCACGTGCAAGCCATGCCCATCCCAGCTCTGTGAAGGGTGAAAATATCACAATACATCACGTGATGGCAACATGATGCCACGAGTTTGACGCCCGTGACCTAGTCCCTCTCCTCCAGCGGACCTTTATTGTCTTCTTCCTCCACTGCTGATGAAGTATACCTGCCTGCCTGGGGCAGCTATTGGCCCTTTGTGGATACACTCCAACCGACAGGACAGAGTTGGAGGAAGGAGATAGGTAGATGGTGGGAAAGTGATATCCTCAATTTAGATCAAAGGTGGAAAATATTCAGTAACCAGAACTGCATGGATAGCAGCAGAAATGGGTCACAGTTCATAATAGTAAAGCAGATTAAACCAGATTCATGCTTCATTGTCTGTCTTACCTAGTCTCCATATTTCTTGGTGCAGTATTTCCCACTTTTACAGTAGAGGTATTAAGAGCCAAGTTGGAATCTTTTAATTTTACTTAACATCCATTCCATAATAGAATTTGTCACTTTATTCAATAAAACAAGGAGAATAAACCACTTCTTAATATGAAAAAACGGGTCTCCAACCCTTGGTCTGTGGACTGGCACTGGGCTGCAGCTTGCCAGAAACTGGGCTGCACAAACAAGCGAAGCCCCATCCCTGAGATGCAGGCAGCATGTGAAACCATGACCTCTCTGGTGCACAGAAAACCCTCTCTCCATGGAACCGGTCCCTGGTGCCCAAAAGGTTGGGGACCACTGTGCTAAAAGGCATCTTCCAATAGTTTACCAGCAAGAAACAGCATTACTGTTTTATTTAAATAAAAGTTCTTCACCTCCAGTACATGTTAATAGAGAAACAAGGCTCCCCAAATTCTTTTTCAAAAATAAATTATATAGACCCATCTCTTCTGCTAAAGATGGGGACGAGTGCAGCAGAGCAGGAAAAATGTGAAGCCCTGGCCTAATGGTGACACAATCTGGGCCTAACGACTGTAATTGTGCCTAGTAAAATTGTCATCACTATGCAATCCAGGACACATGTTTCTCTTAACCGCATCACTTGGCAGCAGAAATTCTGGTCTTAATTGGGGACGTTCAGAGATGACTACGGATATATGTATATTGACATGTATATTTGTAAAGATTACTTTGAAACTTTATGCAGTCACTATTTGTTTGGAATTTCTGCAGAAATTCCCATAACAATGTTCACTTGCTTCATGAGCTTAATAAAATTCCTTTTTATAATTTGCCATTTTATGGCATTTTGTGGTCTAAAGTAGTTTCCCTTTAATGGAAAACTGTGAGGAAAAAGGATGTTTCACTCTATATTATGCAGTTTATATTAAAAAGTGTAAGTTGTAAACCTTAAAACATTGCTCAAGCATGACAGACTTTCTAATGCTTTGTTTTTAAGAAAGATATTTTTGTTTAACTGAAGAGAAAAAGCTAAAGTAGTAAAGCTAAATGTTTGAAAAAGATAAAACATGGAAAGGAAAACTTTAGTGATGAATGAACCATTTTGCTTTAATCATTATGACATCCCCTACATCCATACATCTTTATGTTTAGATACATGCTTTATTTAATACGTTCCCTTATATAACATGAAGATAAGGGTAAGTTTAAAGTGGCCAAATTTATAGATGTATTCTTCAAAGCCTTGAGAAGGCCTTTTTTCAACATAGCACATAAACTGAAAAAAGGAAATAATAAAGAATAGGTTCCACAGAAAATGATACAAGTAGCATATGGACAGGTAAACACAGGCTTACAAGAAGAAATTAAATTATTCTCTTTATCAAAAAGCAAATGTTATGTGGTTGTGAGAATGTTAATCCTTATCGTAAAGCATTATAGCTTCCAAGGGACACCATTGCCCGCTTTTCAGTTAGTTATGCATTGATATTAGCCAAATATCAGGATGCTGAGAATTGAACAGTCACTAAAGTTAAAGAAAATGATTACCGTATTTATCGGCGTATAACACGCACCGGCGTATAACACGCA